GTGTAAATAGTTTGCTTTTTATATAAAAAAGGTGTTCCAATCTTAATATCTGATATAAATAATGTGACCTGTAGTTAATCCTAATGTTTTGCATTAAAATACTGTTTGCTCAAAACCGGTTTTATGTGTATGTTTTAATACTAATAAATGTATGTTATATTTTCTTGAAAATATAAGGGTGATGCGACACACTATCTGCCGTCAAAATCCGGACTCTGATTTGCAGTAAAGGGCTGACAGATATAGGAAACCAAATGCAGAGAGAAAATATGTAAAGATTGTGGCCATATATATGAAAAATATTGAGTTCCACAATAAGATATTAATGATCCAAAAGTCCATCTCTTTGTGCAAAAAGTATGCCATAAGGGATGAGATGAAGAATATTGCCCAACACATGGGAACCATCATATAAAACAAGGGTTTCATTATATGTTTGCCGTAAATGTTTGCATAGATTCTGTATTTAATCAATAATTTATCCTTTAATTGATAATTAATTCGATTGAGTTTAATATCATTTAAAAATGTTATAACAAATAGTTTAGAGTTTATATCAAACCAATAGATAATTGATGGCAAATAAATGGCGACATTTAAAGCAAACAATGAGCACATTATCGAAATGATTGGTTGATTACCCATCAAAGCGTTGGCATCGCTGAAGAATGCCTGAACTGAGTTGTGTCGGACGGCACCCGATATACCATATCTAACACAAGTCAATACACTCACCAAAAATACAAAATATTTCTTTAATCTCCTCTTTGGAGGTCTGTTTCCATTGATATAGTCTTCAAAAGTGGGCGAAAGAAGTACTAAATATTTAGATAAATACTTTTCAAACTCTATAACGCCTTCATTGCGATCAATGATATGATGTTTTAAAAGATGTATTTTTTCTTTAAATTTTAATTTTCGAGAGGAATTAAAATTAATTCTATGAGACATTTCTGTAATTTTAATCCGATTAAAATAATTAATGTTATGTTTACAATATTTAATCAAATTGTTTGTCAAACCTTCACAACTACAGTATTAAAACAACTATAGTAAACAATATTAGTTTATTTATTACAGAAAATTATATTTGTTTCTTATATGTTGTAAACAACAGATGAGAAATGTTGTATATTTTCACATAAACTTTTAATTACTTGCAATTAATTAATTATTGCACACAAATGTGTAATTATTAGAAACAATAGCAAATATTGATTTAAATTGGTAATTTTTAATAAAATACAAACAATTAAGAAATAAACATTTGAAATGAATTAATGTATGAGAATTTCAATTAAGAAATTAAAAGTCGTAAAAACATTTAGTTTAATTAACATTTGTTATTTAAAAGTCACAATTAAATGAATTTTAATCACTATTAATGATTCGAATGGAATATAAGTTATACTGTATTACACAACAAATAAAATTAATAAATAAGTAATTTTTAAGTTTTTAATGAGAAAAAAAAATAATTTTATCATAGATTTGAAAGAATTGTATACACAATGATTGAATGCCAATCAAACTGAACGACACAAAAATGTCTGAAGCATTGCATTCCACGGATGATCTGATCCGTGAGTGACCAACAAGTGTTCCTCAACTGTCTTATACCAGAGCTCTTTCGACGATTGGTTAGCCTTTCGGGAATCGGAGGCAAAACAGATGAATGACTTCAAGAGATAGTAAGTCTTCATTTGATGGAACTTTCCATATATTGAATCCAAATATTGCATGAATTGAGTGTCCATTTCATAGTTGAGATTCTTGTGCTTTAGATTGGGATCCATTGCGGACTCCCAGTGATCGTTGTGTTTCTCCAAAAGTTGCTCAAACTGTTGCCATTCAATGGGTTTCTCAACATTTGGTTTGCATTTAACGCAATCACATTTAATGTCCAAAAAATCCCTGAAAAGATCCCTATAGACACCAGTCATGTCCAACGGAATCAAATCCATAGTAATCTCTTCGCCACTCGCTATCGACTTCATGGCACGGATTTCAATGCTATCACCTGTTCATCATATTTACCATCATTTACGACACTACTGTATTATGCGATCATTATTTAAAATCAAACCTTTAGTGATGAAAGCGGTGTTTGGATGACATGAGTGGCGGACACACATCAACTCAAGAGTGACTCCCCATCCGATATGATGACCGATGGGATTCGTATTATCCATGGGATCGTCGCTATAGTGTCTCATCTGAAACCTGTTCCCCCATATGAACCGATAGTATCGCTTCAAAAGGGATTCTTTGACATCAATGCCTAAACTCTTAAACTCGTTCTTAATATGATTGAAGGCATTGATAATAATTGGCTTCTTATCCACATTAATAGTGTGGAGACAAACATTTGATCCGTCAATCAATTGGCGACTTTGGGTCAGAAATGTTGGCTCGGATTTGATCCGAAGATACAGACGAAGTAATTGGTTATACATTTGCCAATTAGGATCAGATCGGAGTTTCTTCTGCCGCATGAGTTGGCACTCATTCTTATGGAAAGACCAGTCGATTGTCTGACAATTTTTGCCGCAATAATACATTTGAAGACATTTCGCGCATTTCTTCAACTGATCCATAGGTTTGAGACAATTATCGCAATGTTTTCCGTTGTATTTGTAATCAATGCAAGCGAATAGTGGTTTGCATTTGAAGACAACGTCTCCAGCGATGTATGGTTTCGATGAAATGACAGGCATTTCGTCACTCTTTGGATCTCTTTTGTGACAATTTGTAACCACTTTTTGCGATCCCTTTGTTTATAATAAAACGTGATTTTTCAGCACAAATGACGTCTACTTTCAATCATTCAAGTTTTTAAATGAATTTGTTTTACTTTCAGTGTTTAAAATTGATTTTACAAACAATTGGCAATTATTTATCAATCAATTGATTTGAATTTTTAATAATTTTTATTGAAATACAAAAATAATTCATTCAATAAATAATAAACTAATTATAAGCACTCATTATAGACACCAATTAAATGTATTATAATTTCAAAATATTAGTTAAATACAGTTAATATTAATTACTGTATTTAAATTTAATTTATAACATAATTATGTAAATTCTGTACTAATAATGATTAGTACGGAATATAACGAATAAATTTAATAAATTAGTAATTTTTTGAGTTTTATACAGTTAAACCTCCCGATCTCGAACGGGTCGGGACACAAATGTTTGTTCGAGTTATAGAGGTTTTCGAGTTATAGAAAGTTCGAGTTACGGAAAAATATTGAATTATTTACAAAAAAGTTCGAGTNACACAAATGTTTGTTCGAGTTATAGAGGTTTTCGAGTTATAGAAAGTTCGAGTTACGGAAAAATATTGAATTATTTACAAAAAAGTTCGAGTTATAGAGAATTCTGACAATGTTGTGCTGCTATGCATCATTTTATGAATACAATTGTTGAAATCAAAATTAATAAAATTTAAAATTACATTTTATGAACAAATTAGATAATAAATTGTCACTTTTAGATCACAAACATTTGTATAAAGTGTACATATTTTACACTTCAGTAAACAATTCGAGTAGTGGAGGTTCAGTGAAAGGTATTGGGTCTGTGAAAATAGTTTCCGTTTCGGAATACAGAGGTTCGAGTTGTGGAGGTTTTCTATAATGGGGTGTCTATGAGAGTGAATCCGGACTTTGAAAATAGTTCGAGTTATAGAGGATTTCGAGTTACAGAGGGTTCGAGATATGGAATATTAACTGTATCTAAAAAATTTAATTTTAATTTTAACAACAATTTCAATAATTTGTATTCAAAATGATTTGATTAGTTGAATGACATAAATGCCAATCAAACGGAATGAATCAGATATTTCTGAAGCATTGCATACCACGGATGGTCTGATCCGTGAGTGACCAACAAGTGTTCCTCAACTGTCTTATACCAGAGCTCTTTCGACGATTGGTTAGCCTTTCGGGAATCGGAGGCAAAACAGATGAATGCCTTCAAGAGATAGTAAGTCTTCATTTGATGATACTTTCCATATATTGAATCCAAATATTGTATAAATTTAGTGTCCATTTCATAGTTGAGATTCTTGTGCTTCAGTTTGGTGTCCATAGCGGCCATCCAGTGGTCGTCGTGTTTGTCCAACAGTTTTGAGAACTGTTGCCATTCGTTGCGTTTCTGTAGATTTGGTTTGCATTTAACGCAATCACATTTAATGTCCAAAAAATCTCTGATATGATCCCTATAGACACCACTCATGTCCAACGGAATCAAATCCATAGTCATCTCTTCGCCACTCGCTATCGACTTCATGGCACGGATTTCAATGCTATCACCTGTTCATCACATTTACCATTACATGACAAGAGTTATGCAACAAATAATTGTTTATAAATTAATACCTTTAGCGATGAAAGCGGTGTTTGGATGACATGAGTGGCGGACATTAATCAACTTAAAAGTGACACCATTCCCGATATGAAGACCAATCGGATCCATATTATCCATGGGATCGTCGCTATAGTGTCTCATCTGAAAGCTGTTCCCCGATATGAACCGATAGTATCGCTTCAGAAGGGGTTCTTTGAAATCAATGCCTAAACTC